GCCTTTCTAGAGACCCTTAAGGGTACCTAAAGTGTATATAGTATATAGTAGGTGTATCAGGATCCCAGGGTTACGGGCCCATACTAGGGGCCCCTGGTTTGGCTCTTTTTTGCCGCTCTGCGCAGCGTGGGTTCCGAATTCTCCTAGAGTTTCGGCTCCCTGCGCCCCGGGACATACGCAAAAAGGGCTCTGCGCGGAAAAGTTCCTGTAGGGGCTGAGTTTAGGGTTTAGGATTTCGGGGTTTAGGATTTAGGGGTTCAGGGTTTGTGGGTTTAGGGGTTTAGGGGTTCGGGGTTTAGGGGTTTAGGGTTTAGGGGTTAAGGGTTTAGGGTTTCGGGGTTTCGGGTTTAGGTGTTTAGGGTTTAGGGGTCCAAAAATTTCTTAGTGGCTGAGTAGGTAACCTTTAGCTTTTTGGGGCTTATATGATCCTACTATAATTCAAAAGGTTAGCCATTTTTGGTCTAGGGTACTCAGCCCCTAAGTATTACTGTATGGATCTCAGTGACCCACGTTGGAATGCTGACAGCGACCCCGATTTCAGCCAAGTCTTGGCTGAGAGTGTTCGACTGGTGGCATGCAAAACCCGCGCTGCGAGCATTAAACTCAGGTACAAATGGGGATTTCCAAAAATAGGGGACCCTAATATAATACCCTAAATAATAGGATCCTTATTCTCAAGACCCCAAAATAAGGTACCCTAATTTTCGGAAACTCCCAAATCATTCATGTCCAAACTCGTTCAACTTTCGAATCAGAAGACCTGACTCCACCTAACCGTAAAGACGATGCGTTTATTAACCCCGAGCCGCGACACCCGACCCAGAAGCCATCCCGGGCTTTGGAGTAGCATACTTACTCGTGTGTCGCGTCTGTTCGATCCTGTAGTAGCCACGAGTGCTGCTGAAGGGTTTACGCACTGTCTTGTGGAGTTTCCCGGCTGCTTGCAAGAGTCCTGGATGCAAAATACTTTTTTTGGGACCTGTTCCTTAAAGGAACCATTATGAAATAAAAGTCTATACTTTTTTCTCCCTGGTTACTTCAAAGCCCAGCATCCCTAAACCCAATACCGCCCATTTCACCTTCAGTCATACAAGCTGAGATTTGTGACATGCTGGACTACCCCAATCCATGCGAGAAGGAAAAGCTGCCTGAACCTTAAACTTAAACCCCTAAAACCTAAACCCCTGAACCCGAAACCCTAAACCCCTAAGCCCTAAACCCTAAACCCCAAAGCCCTAAACCCTAAACCAGGACCACCACGATGAGGAGCATGGCGGTCCACCGAGGCGACACCAGAGGCCCCGGGCCCCCACGACAAGGGTGTAAACATGAGGAACCTACGACCTATGATAGTCTACTATACTATGGTAATGGTCTAGTCTAGGGTAGTATGGTATAGAATTGTATAGTATGGCATAGCATTCGAGGGCCAGTTGGTAGATGCATGGCATCGGCATTGGCATAGATTTATAGACTCTGGCTGTGGTTTGTTTGATTTTTGCTGTTAAGCTTTGTATTGCCGGTACCCCCTGAGTTTTTGAGGGTATGGATTTCCAAGCGCTTGTAGCAGGGGTGAAAAAAGATATCGTAGCTTTGGAAGCCATCCGTTTCTACAGGTTCTTGACAGGTGATGCTTCTAGGCGGGATCCCAGTGAGTTCGCTTTCAATCATTAGGGTTGTTTACGGCAAGGGCATGCCAACACTTGCATCGTCTTTCGAACGTTGGATGTCCTGGACGGCCTAAACCTTGCATGATTCGTGTCCTGACACTCTAACTTCGATTCCAAAGCCCCCCCGAAAAAGCCCCAAGCGCCCAAAGGCCCCGGAATCTGATGTTTAGAGTTTTGTGGCGCTGGAGTCTGGAGCTTGGCTGAAGGGATTCAGGGCTTAATGCATTGCAGTCCTTGCTCAAAAAAAAAGAGTATTGTGGCTTTCGGCGTCTACTTTGGCTATAACGCGAAACGCCATTGCTGCTGTCGTGCCTCCTCCTCCTCCTCCTATTCCTCCCCCACAACCCCACAACAACATCATCAACAGTGACAACAACAACAGCAGCAGCAGCAGCACAAGCAGCAGCAACCGCAACCACAACCACAACAGCAACTACCACGACAACGACAACAACAATGACAACAAGTATACTACTACCAGAACTGCCACAACAACCACAACCACCCCACGCCTACGACAACGACAGCAACAACAACTACTAGTAACTCTACTACTACTACTACTACTACTACTACTACTGCTGCTGCTGCTGCTGCTGCTGCTGCTGCTGCTGCTGCTGCTGCTGCTACGACTACTACCCCTACAGCTAGCCCCACTCCCGCTCCTCTTCCTACTCCGACTGCCATGCGCCTGCTGATTTAAATCTTGCTACTGCTACCACTATTCCGCTATCGCTACATCCGCCGCCACCTCCACTGCCACTGCTGTCGCTGCCAGAAGGAGTAAGACGAGTGGTCGTAGGAAGAAGAAAGAACTGTGGGAACCCATCCGGAGGCCCAATATCCCTTAATTAAGGAATATAGCTTAAATCATAATATGAAGCCCCTTATAAGTTAAGGTGTATTCCTTAATCAAGGGGTATTGGGCTCTCTGGGCCCATCCGGAGGCAGGGTTGGCAGCACGAGAACCGGCAGTGGGTCCATACCCAGGCCGGACGCAGCGCCCAGCACACCTGGGTAGTTCTCTAAATTAGGATCCTTTTTTAGCTCCAGACTATAGTACGGCACCCTTGTAAAAAAGGATTCCAAAAAGGACCCTAATTTAGAGAACTCCCCATATTCTTCCTTTAAGTCAGAGCCGTCGAGACAGTGTGCTGAGTGTGCGAACATTCCAATCACAGAAGAAGGCCCCTAAGCAGCCCTAATCCCCTAAACCCTGGAAAAAAACACCCTCTCATCCCCTAACCCTAAACCCTCAACGCCCTGAGCCCTAAACCGCGATTTGCCGTCAGAAGCGGCCCAAGAGGTTTCGCTTCCAGGGCCACCCCCGGGGCCTCCAGGCTCAGTCCAAGCCTTGCTTAGCTTGCGCCCCTGCGATGAGAGCTTACGCCCGGGTTTAGGGTTTCCTGTGGTTTGGGGTTTAGGGCTCAGGGTTTAGGGTTTAGGGTTTATAGGGTTTCCTGCGATCCGGAAGCATTCATATATGTCATATATACCTCCAGTATCTCTTTTGGGAAACGTCCTCTCAACTCCTTAAACCACTCGTTCTCCACACTTCCACTGAGAATGGGAATGGTGCAGCCATGGCGATGTGCTGCGCGACGCGGCTATCACCGCCGACAGCTTCCGCTTATGCACCCCAAGGCGAGCAGTTTCGCTTTCAAGCCAAGACGGGCACTGAACGGCTCGTCTGTGCTTTACAGCCTTTCGCTTCTTTAGATTATGGTGTCTCTTGTATAAGGATGTACTTGTTTGCTGACCTCCTACAGGGAGCAGAGGCCATACTGTGTGCCTCGCAAATGTCGGCACTGGCCGCTCCTTGAGGGCCGGCTCTCACTGTTTCATGAGGGGCTTGAGGGGCTGAGCCTCATGCGTTCTAGACCCTCTGAATGTACTGGGAGAGAGAGAGGGAGAGAGAGAGAGAGAGAGAGAGATGTCGAAAAACCTCGGAATGTTACCACAACTCCCAGTGGACAGTCACCTCGGCGTTCTGGGGTTCAGCCTTTTCTGGTGACCATGGGGCTTACATAGAGGCGTACAGCTCTATCCACGTTGACTTGGCTCCTTTTCGCGAGCCATTAAAAGGCTGCCTGGTCAACTTTTCAGCCAAGTTGAACTGAAGAGATGCCACTGAAACATCCACATGGGTAGTTTTCAAAACTAGGGTCCCTTTTGGGGGTCCTTTTTGTAAGGGCGCCGTACTATATTGGGGACCGAAAAAGGGACCCGAATTTAGAGAACTACACACATGTAGATGGCTTTTGCACAGGTCGGGTGCAAGAGCCTCTTCCCCCACGTTCCGTCAGCACGGGAGCTTTGAGCGATCTCTGGGCCACGCAGTCGCTTTTCTGGGGGCTGATGGTGCCGTTCTGCATCCTGCCAGCAAGCAGATCTTCTGGGATTTCGGGTTGTAGGGTGTCGGGGGGCTAAGTGATAAGTTCAAAAAAGCCTCAGAGATCCAATTTCCGAAATCTCAAACCACGAAAACCCTGAACGCTGTGCTGCTTGAGCCTTGAGCCCTAAACCCCTAAGCCCATGAATCCCTAAGCCTCCAAACCCTTAAGCCCTGAAAGCCTGAAAGCACGAGCCGTGAGTGACACATAGACTTCAGGGCCCAAGCCTCGGGAAAGGTCTGGCCTACTGAAGAAGCAGCGACACGAATTCAAGCAGCCTCGGTTTCAGGGTTTGGGGTTAAGGGCCCACAGAAGTATGTCCAGAAAGCCCTGTTCTGGTTTCTTTTAAAGCGTATGAAGGCACCGCCCCGATAGGAGGATGTGGGGGAATCCTCGAGGATCCGGGGCTCAGGGTTTCAAGGGGCTTTTACTATAGGGGCCGTATTCAAAACTATTCTGGGGGTTCCTTATTACAATTATAGCATAATGGGCCCCCAAAAGCCTATTACACACGTTCTGCGCTTCAACCCCAGTTCCTAGATGCACATAGTTCTTGTTTCGGCAGGTCGCATCGTCTTGGGTTGATACTCTTAGGGGCTCGGTAGGTAACCTTTAGCCTTTTGGGGCTTATGTAATGCTACGATAATGTCAAAAGTTAACCCTAAACCCTAAACCCTAAACCCTAAACCCTAAACCCTAGGCCCTAAACCCTAAACCCTAAAGCTAGGGTACTCAGCCCCCCAGAACTCGGCTCCCTCCTGCGTGGAACTTGGGCTCGGGAAATCCCACGGACAAAGTTCCCACTTAGGGTTTAGGGTTTAGGGTTTAGGGTTTAGGGGTTTAGGGGTTTGGGGTTTAGGGTTTAGGGCCACCCACAGCTTTGAATGGACGCGTTACCCTGCTATTTCTTCTTGCCAACTTGTGAATCTGATTCCCTTCGTTTTCCGTATCAATCAGGGAGCTCTTGCATCAATTGCTACTGCTCTGTTTGGTCTGAGCCAAGGGGGCCATATTATAGGGGCCTAAATAACTACCTATGTTTTTTTGGGTGTTCTTTCCTATAACTCTAGTATAATGGCCCCCCAAACCCTATTCTACTTATTAAGGCCCCTCTAGAGCAATAGAACAAGGGGACATGCCATCTGCTCTAAGTCCCAAACCCGAAACCCTAAACCCCAAACCCGAAACCTAAACCCCAAACCCGAAACCCTCAACCCTAAACCCCACACCCGAAACCCTCAACCCTAAACCCTATGGTAGCCTGGAGAGAGCAACAAATCCAGGGTCTCTCCGACGCAAAATCGGCCCGAAGCTGGTAAAGGCAAGGGCGCGATCGTGCGACTGTGAGGCATAAGATTAGCGTTTAGGGCTGTAACTTTAACGTAGGGGCCTTAATAAATACCTATATGATTTTTGGGGGGGTCCTCATTGCAAATATAGTATAGTATACCCCAAAGCCCTATTCTGATCATTAAGGCCCCTACACTAGCTTTACGGTTGAAGGTTGGTTTCGGGTTGGAGGTTACCTGAGGGTGAAGGGCTCTGATCTGGCCAGCCTGTGTAAACAAGGCTTAAGAAAAGCTCGTAGGTCCAGGCTTGAGGGTTTCTGTGAGGTTCTAGGTTTCCTACATGGAGCGAACCACCCTACAATCGCAAAGCTTGAGACCTCATGCTTCAGGCTTCAAGTCTAGCTCTAAACTCTAAATCCGATTAAGACGAAGAAGTGGGGGGATTCGGCTAGCTCTGATTGGCCGTTCTTGCAGTGAAGAGGATGCTTGGGTCGCCTGGCTCAAAGACTTAGTAGGTGCGAATCTCAAACCCTGACCCCTGAACCTGACGGATTAAGAGAATAAGTAGTTCTCTCTAGGGTTTAGAGTTTAGGCTTTTCCACAGATCTGCAACCGGTGTCAGGTATCGATAAAGCCTGAGTTCAGAGTTCAGCAGTTTTGGGGGTCACAGGGGTTCTGCACTTCCGCGGTGTCTCCTGCACGCGGCCCGGACTTTAGGGACCGGGCATGGTAAGCTATAGCCGCTAAGCCTTTTCGGGTGTATGTGCATATATATATATATGTTTTGTTTTGGACATACATTATATATTTATATATACATATGTATATCATAGCCGTCATAGCCGGCCACACTTGGAACTTAACCTATCTGGGCCCATTTAAGTGGTCCGGGTCACAGCTTGGGGATGCAAGTTGCACTTTATGCTTCGCAGCCCTCTGACTGCTCGATCTAGCAAGCGCTATGCCCTGACGGCATAAAGTCCCACAAACACGCGCGAGCGCGCCGCCATCCTTCCACTCCTACATACACTTCTTATAGCTGAATAAGCACAAATTACACTTTCGGGATAATATTATCCCCTATAGGCCCTATAGAGATGAAAGTGTACACTTTGTTGGGCACATGAATTCAGCAACTAAGACTTCAAGTCGTGAGCCACAGAGTCCTAGAAGTCTCGAAATCAAAGCCTCAGTGCCTCAATAACAAGCCTCCCCAGCTGAAGGAGGCCGTCTTCTATAAACCGGAAAGGTTCTTGCCCACTTGGACGCCTGTGCTAGTTAGGGAAGATCTAGGACTTTTCCCTGTGATGACGTCATCCTGGTAATTACAAACTACAACAGCTAAAACCAGGAACAACTAAACCGGTTGAAGCAACTCGTAGGCCACGATCTCCATCGCGGCTGGTGGGGCTGGGGCTGAGGCTGTGCTACCTTCGTCGGAAGCTGAGGAGGCCTGTTGCGCCCCTAGCCCATGAAGACGCCAAGCCCCCAAACCCCAAAGTTACCACAATAAGGGACCCTATGATTAACTACAGACCCCCATTATGCTAGGTTTAACTACCCTAAACCCTAAACTAAGTTCCTTAACAAGAACCCAATGGCCCAGAGTTTGGGCTCAGGGCTTCGGGTCTGCGCTGCGAATTCGGAGGACCAGGGTCTCTAGATCGGATATTGGCAGCTTCCCTTTTTGGGGTTTATGGGTTTAGGGTTCAAGTTTAGGGTTTATGGGGTTTAGCGTTCTAACTAAGGGGTTTGACAGGGTTTATACGGGGTTTGTTAGATATTTTGGGGGCTTTGCAGACCCGTGATCATTTTCCCTCTCTCCCTCCCTATTCATGGTTTGTTAACCATTGGGGATCACAACATTTGGGCCCTCACGAAAGTGTATAAATCAGGATCTACACTATGGGACATCGATCTTGGTTACTGATGGCTGACTACCTTCGGTAGCGCGCATGGGGACACCCGAAACCCTAAACCCTAAACCCTAAACCCTAAACCGATTGTTGAGGAGACCTCCGGTGTCCTAGCCGCCCACATCAAGCAATCGGTGAACTCTTGTAAAGCCTGATCTCAGCAACTGGTAAAGGAGCCGCAATCGGTGTTCTATGTGACAACTATATACACGTGTGAGAAGGGAACCCTTTATTTTACTGCTGACCATGAGGGTGGAGGCTTTGGGTTCAGATGTTGGGATCCTGTACACCTTGAAACGGGTTTAGAGTTTAGGGTTTAGGGTACACAATCGCTTGTGGCATCAGTCGGATTTAGGGGTTTTAGGTGTCAGGAATTAGTCTTAGCATTATAGGGTCTGCGCGCAGGTTCAGGGCATGTCGACTTCGATGATTCTACACTCCTCGTCATAGCTCCTGGCTAATTTCGTAAGGCCAGCTAGTTTTTTTCGGTGCTTTAGGATAGTCGCGAGGTAGGTAACCTGAACCCTTGACCCCTTACAGCATGTCAAGTCATACCATGTACCGATACAGTACTAACCTGATCGTTCTGTGGGCCAGGGAATTCAATGACTCAGGGCTGCCTCTGGGTGTTGAGGCCGACCAGGAGGAGGAGAGGGAAGCTGCGGAAGAAAAGGAAGGACTTCTGCCCTCTACTGGGAATGAGGCAATCGACCAGTTGCCACTGGGCCACATGGATGCGCTTTTGGGGTTCATGTTTTAAACACGAGCTTGTACGGAGGTTTAGCTTGCGGGGTCGACTGCCGCCCACTTGACAACTTGATCCTTGGTTCAACCAGGGTTGAGGGTTTAGGGTGTACCTATAGTCTCCATTGTAGTTCCTTGTTGGGGTTGCCTGTTTAGGATCCTGAATATAAGAATTGGTTAAACCCCAAAAAAGGAACTACAATGGAGACCATAGGTAGAGGGGGTGAGGGTTGCATCGGCGCTGGCCGGCACTTCAGTCCGTGCTGAAAAGTGTACTTTGTTGTACAAAACCACTCCTGCGGATTCCTTGTTTGAATTAGCTGGACGGATTGAGCGGGCGTGTTTGTCATGTCCAAAACACAAAGGACACGTCCTGACTTGATGGTAATATATATATATATATATATTATAGTAGCCTTAATGTCCCTGTTCACTACCTAAAGTACTTAAACATAGCTAAACTGTTTGAATTGCCTGGACTACCTGAACTACCTAAACTACCTTAACTACTTAAACTGCCTGAACTACCTGAACTACCTAAACTACCTAGACTACCGAAACTACCAAAACCCTAATATAAGGGCCCTAATAATTCAAATAGGGCTTGGGGTATATTATACCATAATTATACTCAGGAGCCCCCCCTCCATAATAGTATAGGTACTTATTAAGGCCTCTACATTAAACCCTAAACCTTAAACCCCAAACGCCAACCCCTAAACCCCAAACCCTAAACCCCAAACCCTAAATCCCAAACCCTAAAACCCCAAACCCCTAAACCCTAAACCCTTAAACCCCAAACCCTAAACCTGCAGAACTCACGGCATGAAGTACATGAGTGAAGCTTCCGCCGCCCGCGCAAAGGGTTGGCTACGAAAGAGGGGTTTAGGGTTTAGGGTTTAGGGTTGACATGCAGAAGTCCTGCAGACTTTGCACACGCATGATTGACACGCTAGCATCGAAACATGGATGCATTTATGTACATCCCCGCATCCTAGAGCTGTAAAAGCTTTTGTGTCAACATTGTGAGGTCGTGTGATAGGAGGGAAAAAGGATGCTTCGTTGGCACGCCTTGGTTTTGCTGGCATAAGACGTGAGCTGCTTTACATCGTAAATCTGCAGTAGCAGATTTGCCAAGCCCCAAACCCTAAACCCCATACCCGACACCCTAAACCCCAAAGCCCTGAACCCCTAAACCCCTAAGCC